TTTCAGATACCGGTTTGTTGGGTGCAAAAGCTGCATCAACACCCATGGATTTCTCATGCAAATTTCATTCTAAACAAGGTTCTCCTATTACTGATCCTCATAGTTATAGACGACTAATAGGACGTTTGCTGTATCTTACTCATACCCGTCCAGATATTGGATATGTTGTTCAACAATTAAGTCAATTCCTCTCTCAACCTATGGAGAAACATATGCAGGCAGCACTTCGAATTGTGCGCTACTTAAAGAGCTCTCCAGGAAAGGGCCTTTACTTTGCTGCAATAAATGATTTAGTGCCCACAACATTTTCTGATGCTGATTGGGCCTCTTCTCTTAACACACGACGTTCTGTCACTGGATACTGTGTATTTCTAGGGTCATCCTTGATAGCATGGAAGTCAAAGAAGCAAACAACGATCTCCAAGTCTTCTTGTGAAGCAGAATATAGAGCTCTTGCACCAGTTACATGTGAGATGCAGTGGCTGCACTTCCTCCTCAGTGATCTTTGTTCATCTCCTTCGCAAGCTTCCAACATATACTGCGATAATCAATCAGCTATCCACATTGCTCACAATCCGACTTTTCATGAACGTACCAAACACATTGAAATAGATTGTCATTTGGTGCGTGAGAACATTCAAAGTGGTTTAATCCGGTTGCTACCTGTTCCTTCCTCAGCCCAACTTGCTGATTGTTTTACCAAAGCTTTGAAGCCTGCTCCTTTTAAGTCCTTAGTTTCCAAGTTGGGACTCATTGACATTCACCTCCCAACTTGAGGGGGGCTGTTATGATTAGTTATTTATATCAATTAGTTAGTATGATATTCGGTTAGTTAGTTTTTATCTCTTTATTGGTTCCATTCGGTTAGACTTCCACTGGGACTGATATATAAGTCAGAACTAACTCTGTTAGGAATTCAATTCATTCTCTTCAATATTTTCTCTCCATTCAATGGGTTTGTATCGTATGAATGGCTGAATCCAATGTTGTCGGCATTCACCACCAGGATATATGAACATAGATCCATAAGCTGGCATAGCTTCGAATCATAAGCAACCTTCTTCTCAGCCTTGGTAGGTTTCACTACCATTGAAATGTATGGGTTTGGGTAAGAGAAATTTACAGAACAAAATCAAGGACCAAGACGAGGCAGTGGCTCAGTTAAGGCGAACAAAAAAATGGTGCCATAAGGGAGGGTATTTTGGTCCAAAATGAAACAGCCCCAAACCCTGTAGCATGATATTGTCCGCTTTGCCCTCGGGCTCACGATTTTTGTTTCTTGGGACACCCCACAAAAGGCCTCACACTAGAAGAGGTATCCACACCCTTATAAGGCATGCTTCGTTCCCCTCTCCAACCGATGTGGGACATTACATCCTCCCCCACTGGGAATACAGCGTCCCCGCTGTACACACCGGCCCAGGGCCAGGCTCTGATACCAAATGAAACAGCCCCAAACCCTGTAGCATGATATTGTCCGCTTTGCCCTCGGGCTCACGGTTTTGTTTCTTGGGACACCCCACAAAAGGCCTCACACTAGAAGAGGTATCCACACCCTTATAAGGCATGCTTCGTTCCCCTCTCCAACCGATGTGGGACATTACATCCTCCCCCACTGGGAATACAGCGTCCCCGCTGTACACACCGGTCTAGGGCCAGGCTCTGATACCAAATGAAACAGCCCCAAACCCTGTAGCATGATATTGTCCGCTTTGCCATCGGGCTCACGATTTTTGTTTCTTGGGACACCCCACAATAGGCCTCACACTAGAAGAGGTATCCACACCCTTATAAGGCATGCTTCGTTCCCCTCTCCAACCGATGTGGGACATTACACAAAAATCGAGTGAGAATTTACCACCTCCCAAGAATCCAAGAATACTACCCTTCTTGTTGGTATTCTTGGATGGCATTCTGCTTTATAAAATAAATTCCTGGGAATATGATTTTCTCAGAAAATTTTTCACAATCCTTATATCAAATACGAGTAAATAGGATTCCAAATATCAGTTTCTTGGGAATTTAAAAAAAATCCCTCTACCAAACGCTTCCTTACCCTTTGTTAATTCCCTCAATCTCCAAATCGACATAGTTCTAGGGTTGATGGAGATAATATCTCATATCCAAGGAGAAACAATAAAAGCATAAAATAAAAATTTAACATTTCTGCTTTTGTTGCATAATTTTTTTCTACCACAGTGACATAAAAATGAGTGGATCCCACCTTTTTTTTCTTTCTCTTATCTTTACAACATGATCCATTTATTTTAATGTAAGGGGCTATTTGGTATGGAGTAATATTGTGGATGTCCAGGAATATGAAAGTGGAAATTATTTATGCACACATTTGGTAGAAGGAAATCAGAAAATATTCCTGGATATAGTTTATTCCCTGGAACCCATTTTACACTACCGATTCTGATTTCTGATTCCCCTTTAGGGGGTGTTTGGTAGTAGAGAAATTTTTTTTGGTCTGAGAATCATGATTACTGAAAATATAGTACGAATATGAATTTTCTGGAAATCTTATCAAAAAAGTGTTTGGTAGAGCAAAATATTACCAGGAATATTGGTTAAGTTTACTAATGTATGTGTTTGGTTGATGATAAAATATTGCTTGAAATATAGGATGAATTGACGAAACTAACCTTGGACACTGTAACTTATAATTATAAACACTATCAGAACAAAAAAAAGGCATAGAGGGTAATATTCAGACCAACATTCAGACCAAGACTTCCTTTTTACAAGAAAAAGTGTATTTGGTTTGAACAAGTCAAGGTAGGGTACGCAGGATAGAGGGCAATTTAGTCCGAAAACACAATTTACATTTTACCAATTCATTGGTATCCTGAAATACCACGTTTTCAAGAGGAATCGTGATTCACATTTTTATGTGTTAAAGTGAACACTGGGTATTCATGATTTCCAGGACAAAATTGCAACTACCTTCTACCAATCATGGGTATTTCACATTGCCATACCCACTTTACCGTTAATATAAAATATGTCATCGTAACAAACAGCCCCTTAGAACATGGTAATTGTGAGTTCCCACTTCTTAGATTCTTTGGGGGCAATTTCTCATACTATATTACCCTCATATTTGACTACTGGGGCTGTTAAAGTAGAAGGTTTATGCAGTTACTGTCAAAATGGTTAATTATCAACATGTTAGTTCATATTTGAGCATATATAAGAAGAATTGATTTAAAAGAAAAAATGATGGCTACAAAACAGTCGCTTCAGAGATATATATGCAGTCACACAATACGTGTGTTAAAAATATTGTGTTAGATTAAAAAATATAGCTAATTTGAGACATACCCTGAACGGTCCAATTTTGATAAGTTTAACTTTGATCTGTCAAATCTTTTAATTTGGTTTAATCTATTGAAACTTAATGCTAAACAAATTCTAAAACCTTGGCTATTAGCATTTATAGCTAATTTGCATAGGACAATCTGGGCACCCAATAACACATAATATGCTGACTAGTGATAGTAAATTTTGTACATTTAGATTTGTGTTCTATTGTTATATTATATTAGTTTATGACTGGCTATAGAAGTGATATTTTAATACTTCATTTTCGATCATTTGGTATCGCAAAAAAATAAGTAGCCTCTGCTACACTTCTAATTTGTATGCAGTTGATGAACCATAGTTATGAGGAGGCTGCAGTAAGCCTTTAGAAGGAAGTTGAAAGGCACAAAAATTAATTTTATGAATGGAAACAAACATCAGCACTAAGACCTCATCAGCTTGTAGTAGAGCAATTTAAATTTAAATTATTTGATAAAGAATGGAGGAGAAAAATTAAATCCTAATACACATGACAACGTGAAAGATACTGTTCTTCACTTTGTTTTATCACCAACGATGCAGCGGGTCGTTTTTTGCGTCTCATTGTTATATTTTTAGTTAATCGTTTTTTTTAAAAGTTAATCTTCACGAGGATATTTTTGTCAAATTTGATCATATTTCCAGTAATATTTTATTTTCAACTAAACACTCATTTACAAAAATTAACTAATATTTCTGGTAATATTTTATCCTACCAAATATCTTTTTCGTAAAATTCTCAGACAATTTTTGTTCCAACCATTTATCAGATAATCATGATTTCAGGATAAAATAAAAAGTTTCGAGTACCAAACGCCCCTTAAATCACATATGAAAAAATTTATACAGTAAATACAAAACTATTTTTCCTTAAAAAATATTAATACAAATGGATAAAATCTTTTCTTTTTTCAGTTCAAAAGTTAAAACTAAGGGTTTTATGTTTATTATGTAACATGATATAACATCACTTTCCTACACACACATTAAAGAGGTAGGGTCCACATGTTTTTCTTTCTCTTTCATCATTCCACTTTCTCTGTCCATTTTTGTGTGTGTTGAAAACAACACTTAAATCATGTAACATAAAACTAATAAAACCCTAAAACTAATTCAATTTCGTTCGGTTTGACTATTTTGGTTTCCTTCATTGATTACTCCCAACTTCACAGCCTTACTTATATATAGTTGGGACACATGGCATGGTGTATTTTGATCAAGCATGCCGGGAAAGAAGAAACAGTAACACCGTGTTTGGTACATGAATAGTAAAAGAAGAAGAAACATTATCTGAACTGTAAACTGCGAAACGCACACCTCAAGAAAACATTCACAGGCACGACGACAAGGGCGTGTAGTAGCAGCTTAATCAAGGGTAGAATGGTCTGTACACAGTACACAACCACCCCTTAACAACGTTTCCATCATTTCCTTTTCCCAAATGCAACGACCAATTGCCAAAGTCGTGTCGTGGGGCATTCATACCTTGATCGATATCGAAAACAATGTTTCATGTGCCAATTGTGAAATCATCGTTACTATATCATAGACTTTTGAACTGGTAATAGGTGCATTCCCTCGTTTACCATGCTTTCCTGAGAAAGAAAGAAAGAAAGAAAGTCCCCAATAGATTTTGATTTCCCCGAGAAAGAAAAAAAAACATGTCTGACGCTGTGATCAATGGGTTGGCTGGAGCTGGAGGAGGGATCATTGCTCAGCTCATCACATACCCACTTCAAACCGTACGGTTATGATTTCAAAAACTGATTCTTTTTCCATTTTCTCGAAAAAAATTTCATGTGGGTTTTCTTCTAATATGACAAAGATTCAATTTTTCTGAGGTGATCTACAGGTAAACACTCGTCAACAAACCGAGCGTGATCCGAAGAAAGGCAAGAAGAGTCAAGGGACCCTCGAGCAAATGTGCCAGGTTTCTGTCCATTAGCGAGGATTATATCATATGATTGTTTAGCTGAATTGTGCCAAAGATTTGTTTCTTTCTTTTCGTTATCGAAATGAAGAAAATAGTTGGTGATTTTGTTTATGGGAAAATATTGTAGGTTGTAAAAGAAGAGGGGTGGGAACGGTTGTATGGAGGCTTGATGCCATCGCTAGTGGGTACAGCTACGTCTCAGGTGAGCTCCTTTTAGCTTATTGTTGAGATATATAAGGCGTGTGCATTGTCCACCCTTCAAGCTCAGTGAACTCTCGTGTGAGAATGTGAGATATATAAAAATCATTAATGTAACCTCACTCAACAGCTTAAACTTTTGGGTTGAATTGATTCTTTACACTTATTTTTCGTGATATTGCTATTTTATTTATTGCAGATAACGGTTGTTTACTTTATTGTTTTACATCGAGTCAAATTTCTTGATATATTTCCTTTTATTATTGGAATCATTGGGAAAACTTAAAATTTAAGAATGCTTGTATCGGTTTTGTTTGGCGGATGTCATTGTCAATGCATATGTTTCCAACACCCCAACTAATTTGAGATAAAGGTGAAGTTAAATTAACCCCAACTAGTTTGAGATAAAGTGATCTGTATGTTGAAAGCAGTTGAATTAGTTTATACATTAATAGTTTTTTTGCAGATTAAAAATAATGGAAATTTGACTTGGTGAGCGGTGTTTGAAATGTTGATTTAATGGCAAGCCAATAGGTCAATCTGCCCTAGATTCAGAGGATTAATTCTTATGTAGTTATTATTGTCCAGACTTACTCCCCATACTATTGTTAAAGACTCAAAAAATTTAATTGTTTTGAGGTTTGGTAGTATGTACAAGGAAAAACTAGTTAGTTCATGCACTATCTAATATAATTATTGACATAATAGACTTCTTGATGGTCTGTAGTGTGGCTCGTTATCTTTGAAAATGAATGAAAGTTTTCAACAACCCATGGTTCCTGCATGATGTACTTTGTGGCAACCTGTTCATTGCTTTGATTTAGTTTTCTATGTTTTAATAACTTACAATTTTATGGTACAGGGTGTTTACTATTATTTCTATCAAATATTCAGGAACAATGCTGAAGCTGCTGCACTAAAGCAGAAGAAGATAGGCATTGGTGATGGATCAGTCGGGATTCTCGCCTCACTTCTTGTTGCTGCTTTATCTGGGTAGTTTACTTTGTAAAGAGTCAATGTGGTTCTAGTTTGTTTTTGCCCCACAAACTTAAGTGATTGAATAACAGTTTTTCTTATGGCTACAGCAGTAATTTTGCCGTATTAATATCATACATGTGGCTGTTAAGGTTCTATTTCTATATTTCTCAAATTTGGATTTGTAAAAGAGTTGCTGAATTGACCTTCCCATAAGCATGTACTGTTAGTTGCCGATCATGTTTGTATAAATCATTGATTATGTAATCTTGCTGTACTCATGTAAAGTGTTATGACTCAAATTGTTTGATAAATATTTTTGTAGGTGTGTTAACGTGCTCTTAACAAATCCCATATGGTTAGTTGTTACTCGTATGCAGGTAAATAACTATATGATAGTAATCTCTTTTCTCTTTTTCTTTCTGCTTTCCCCTTCCTTCCTCTCCCTACTCATCCTAACCCTTCTTTATCTTGTTTCTTGTTATACACCAAACATGAAACTGAGGAAAAACTATTACTTTTCTCCTGATTTGATATTAGAATTTGGTTTTTTAGAAAAAGGAAATTGCAAGACTATTATGAGGATTCTTGTTTCCTTTCCTGTTAGCCAAAGCATTTCCAAAAGTATTTCAACTTTGTAAGTAGATAAACTTGGAAGGGAAGGAATCATGGATTTGAATGCTTGTTTGGACTCGAAATAGTTTAGGGGTTTCATGGATTTGGCAACTAGTTTGGGAACCCTGTGTTTTTTAATATACAAAACTGATTTTGTTGGTTTAAGTTGTTTCAGTATAGGATATATAATACATGTTCTGTCCCTTATTATGTTTTGCTATTTGTGTTTCTCAAAGTTATCAGAACAATATTCTCTTATAATTTAGAGCAGTAAATGATAAGCAAGATCTGTCTGTCTGTCCCTCTCTCTTTACTTTCTTCCTGTCTGACTCACCTAGTAAGTCTTAGTTAGATTCTGATTTTTGCTATTTTGTGTCAAAAACTATTTTTTCTTTCTGTGCAGACGCAGAGAAAAGAGTTAAACAGAACTCCACCAGATCAGGGATTGTTAGTTGTCACCGAGCAAACAAATCTTTCTGCAGTTGAGCCTCTTCCTTATGGAACTAGCCATGTGGTAGGTAAAGTCTATATTGGTATTTTTAGCAATTTCAAGAATTTATGTGTCTAGGCTATTCTACTATGATAAAATGTTTGGAAAACTAATCATGTAGTCTTTATCAAGGATCTTTATATTCCAATTGGAAGAAATTATCTGAAAATTATTCCAACAAATTGATTAATGATTTATAATATAATTATCATGGGTTTTCCCCTTTATCATATGAAGAATTTTACTGGAGTTCCTGCCCTTGTTCCCTGGGAACTCCTTAGAAGTCTTAAGACTTTTCAAACCCTCTAGTTTCCCTTTGTTGAATAAATATTTGCAGATTCAAGAAATCTACAATGAAGCTGGAATTTGGGGTTTCTGGAAAGGTGTATTACCAACATTGATCATGGTATGTTGGAAGTGAATCTCTTTCATGCTGAGGGAGTATTACTGATTGGTTGTTCCTGATCTCAGGTAAGCAATCCTTCCATACAGTTCATGCTGTATGAAACCATGTTAAAGAAGTTAAAAAGAAAACGTGCTTGGAGTAAGAAGGGTAGCAACGGGGCAACTGCTTCAGAGGTATTATCTACTTCCACTTCTCTGGATAAAATCGCTTTTTGTGATATCCTATTCACACTTATATTTTCTCTTATGTTGAAAACTGTTAATGATTTACGACTTTGTCATACTAATATTCCCTTGTGACACTAGATATTTCTTCTTGGAGCTTTAGCTAAGCTTGGAGCTACTATTGTAACTTATCCACTCCTAGTTGTAAAGGTATATCATACTAGCTTTCTCAAGATGGTTTTATTTGGCTAAATGGGAACCATAGGGTTATCAGAATAAAAAAATAATGAGAATTTAAAACTATATTTCTTAAATTGCAGAGCTGGAAAATAATGGTAGAAACTATCTTGGAACGTGGACATTTTTCTTGTTAGCTGATGCCTGTCAAAGAAAAATACAGAAATGCATTGGTTAAATGTGAAAAAATAAAGAAGAAAAATCATGAACTGTATGCGGTCTTTTTTTTATTATACCATTTGACGAAACAAAAAGGAGTGTGGATCAATGCACAGAAATTTTGGGATCACAAATATGGCACACATTGGCACATATTTTACTTTTGTATTTTTCTAGGACCTTGAGGCCAGTATGGTATTGATACCAGTTAGAATTTTGTAAAGATGGAGATCTGATTATATATTTTTTGTTACATTGCTTGAAAATTCAAATGCTGAGTCATTTATGTTTTTATATGTATTATATCTGATAATGAACTTTAGATGGTTGATTGTGTTTGACATTGTAATCATCTGTTATCAATAATTTTTTAATTTAATTTAGACATTAGACAACTGAATCATTCGCATAATTTTATTCACTTGTTTTTAATGTGGTGGATGATTCATAGTAATAGACTCAATGTGCCTTATTTTTTAAATTTGCTGTGTTGTCATGTCCTCGACGTGTGTCACATTGATGTCCATTATTCTGGAGATGTAATGAATGGGGAGGACTGAGAAAATGATCTGTATCGAAAATGCTTTTCTCAATTTCTCACTTGTTATGTTGTTCTAACAGGCAAGGCTTCAAGCTCGACAGGATGAAACTGGAGACAAGAGGCGCCATTATAAAGGTTTAAGTTGTGACGATCTTTTGTTATACCTTGTAGTCAAGATCCATTTGTACAGTAGGTTTCATCTATCCTTTGATCATGTTTGCCAAAAGAGAGTTGGGACATTGACTTTTGTGCCACACTTTGAAATAAAAATCACCTGAATGTCACAGATCCATTTTTTTTCTTCCAAATTGCCACATCAGTGAAGTCACTATGTATTGTAGCGACTATAGTCTAACCACGTGGCAGAGACAGGGCTAAAGTCGTTACGCCATGTAGCTACTTTGGTTTCTTTTCTGACACACGTGGCAGAGACAGGGCCAAAGTCATTGGGCCATGTAGCAACTTTGGTCCCTTTTCTAGTCGCTACAGTATATAGTGACATTATTGACGTGGCACTTTGGAAAAAAAATTGAATCCATGGCATTTAAGTTATTTTTATTACAAAGTGTGGCACAAAGGTCAATGTCCCAAGAGGGTTTATAGTTACTGGTTGTTCTAGCTTAACTAGTGGTCTCGAATTTGAGTATCTGGGAACGCAGCTGTGTTAAAACTTGGTAGGAAGAGTTTTGCCGCCCATGTGGTTCTATCCGGCTCGAGTCGGATTAGTCAAATAATAGATAAACTGATGGATAATATAAAAAAAAAAGAGTTTATACTTACAAGTACTATATTGCTGAAGTTAACATGCTATATTAATGCCCTTGCTCACCTGGTGATAAATGCTTCTGTTTGTTGCTTCCCTCCCTCACACACAAACACATACACAAACACACGCTCCATCCATTATGAAACCATTTGACTGTTAACTAAGTTTGAGGTTTTAGAAATTTTACTCTCTCACTATTCTCTGTTTCCTCTGTAAAGTTGCATAATTTTCTTTAAATTCAGGTACATGGGATGCTATTATTAAGATGATGCACTATGAAGGTTTTTATGGATTTTACAAAGGTATGGGCACAAAAATTGTACAAAGTGTGCTGGCTGCTGCTGTGTTGTTCATGATGAAGGAAGAACTAGTTAAGGGAATTCATTTCTTGCTTGCCAAGGATGCTGCCAATACTTGAAAGCCAAAGCATCTATGATTGGAGACCACTAACTTGAGTTTTCTCTAGATTGAGATTTTATGAACCATCTTCAGTTAGCAAATTAATTCAAATTGTAGGAACTAGAAAAACATTTGAAAGTTTGTAACTTAAACAAGATATTAAAATATGACTAACTGTATCTTGATTGTTTTCGTCAGGCTAGTTTCCATGGTTGAAATTCATGCCGAATATTACACAATACAGTTACTGGTTTGGTTTGTTCCATGGTGCTAAACCGAACACAAAAAACAGCTGTTTTATCAGGTTTATTTGCTAACATCACGGTTATGAAAAAGGCATAATCCTTTGCAGAGTATGTTTTAGAAAATATCAATCTTTTTACTGGACTTAATCATAAAAAAAAATTATATACAAAGAAATTATCATAAAATATAAATATTTACAGAATATCATAAATATCTTATGAATACGCATATTTATGACAAATGTAATATCAGACATACTTTAGAATAAGATATTTTAATATTAATTACTTAAATTAACTAAAATATATTTTATTAGGAAGAGATTATACTTACTACCTTTTTTTTATTATCTCTTACTACTAAATTTTAACCATTGATTTTCGTCAATTTAACTGTTGTAATTTATTGGGTCATACTTATTAATTAATTTTTAATAAATTATAATCGTTAGATTGACAGAAATTAACGGTTAAAATTTGATAGTAAGAAAAAGATGTAGTAAATATAACTTCTCTCACTTTCTTAACTTATATCTTTATTTTGTCAATTTTTTATAAGAGTAAATACCTTATTTGGTCCTCAGCAAATTTTACGATGCCCGCTCTAGTTTCTAGCAAATGAAAAAGTTATTTATGGTCTTTACGAAATTCAAAATGGATCCATTTTAATCATTTTGAGGGACTAATAGAAATTTTTTTAAATTAGAATCGAAAAGGAAAAGAGTATTTACACTTTTTATTATTATTTATACTTGACTATTTACCATTTGAAAGAAACGCTTAGCTGCTTGGATCAAAGTCAAACTTGGACAAAACCCAAAGCAAATTAGAGAGAGTAAAGGAATCAGAAAATGGCGTCTAAAGCAGCAAAGAAAGCGAATCTGTTGGATCACCACTCCATCAAACACATCCTTGACGAGTCTGTTTCTGAGGTCCGTTAAACCCTAATCCCCCTTTTCTCCCTCCCTTTCAAATTCATCCACGCTACAAAAGTTTTGTTTTTTATCTATTTGATTGAGCTTTTGGTTTGAGGGTCATGCTTCAATTTTGTTACCGTGCAGATAGTAACGAGTCGTGGTTATGTTGAAGATGTCAGATTGAGCAACGTGAGGCTGTTAGTTGGGACCATCATCATCGTCATTGCTCTGTTTGCACAGTTTTACAAGAAGAAGTTCCCTGAGAACAGGGAATTTCTCATTGCCTGCATCATCTTATATCCTTTTACACGCTTCACTTTTATATGTCTCTTTCACTTTTAAATGACTGATGAAAGTGTAGGAACAATAGTTTTTTTTTTTGGGGTGCAAAATTGGGTTATTTTTCTTCCCCTTTTTTTATTAATAAAAAATGGTTTCTGGGCTTCAATTGGCATTTTATTGATTTTGCTTCAGTTCTGTTTGATCTTTAACTCTGGCAGTGGCACGTATATAGTATTCAATGGGATGTTGCAGCTGATCATATACACTAAGGAGAAAAATGCTATTTTGTTTACTTATCCTCCTGCTGTAAGTTTCTAATTACTTTATATAAAGTAGTTGCCTTTCCCATATATATATATATATATATATATAGAGGACTTCTTACAGCGGTGTAAGAGTTAGAAATCTTACACTCAATTTTTGACCATTGATCCACTTGTATCCAATGGCTCACATTACTAAAAAAATTAGAGCTCTTAGATATAAGTGGGATCAACCGACAATATTGAAAGTGTAACTTACACTGGTGTAAAATGATCTTGACCCTATATATATATATATATATATATATATATATATATATATATATATATAGGGTTTGGTGTTTGTCATTTTAAATAACATAAGTTATGTCATATCAGGAGAGAGATAGATACAAAAAAATGGAAATCATGGGAGAGAGAAAGTGGGTGATTTTTTTTAATTTAAATTTTAAATAAAATAATTATTTTGTGTCTATCTCTCTCTTAAAATGACGTAACTTTATGTTATTTAAAATAACAAATACTTTTCCTATATATATATATATATATATATATATATATATAGGGTTCGCTTTTTCTACAGTCAAGGTAGATAACTTATATATATATAGGGTTCGCTTTTTCTACAGTGAGCCCAAAACGACTCGTTTTGGGACGGAAATCAAGGTATTTTTGTAATTATAATTTATTTCAGGGTTATAATAGTTTTTTTCATTATAATTTTTTAATTTTTAAACCCAAAACGACGTCGTTTTGGGAGTGAATGTAACTTATCTACATTCACTTTAGAAACGTTAAATCCATATATATATATGGGGTTTGCATTTGTCATTTAACATGACACAACAAACTTTCCTACACACACAACATTTTGTGAGACCCACACTTTTTGAAGAAAAAAGAAAAAGAAAAAATTATGGCACGCAAAACGAATCTCTGTAACATTACACAATCACTTTTCCTACAACATAACTCTTATAAAACCCTATATGTATAGAGGTAAGATCCTTCGACATCAGTGTCAAATTTGAAATTTGACACCTCATTTGAGAGTCATTGGATCAAAAAAGATCAATGGCTCTGATTTGTAAGCATGTGACACCATTGATCTTTTTTGATCCAATGGCTCTCAGATGAGGTGTCAAATTTTAAATTTGACACTGGTGTCAAAGGATCCTACCATATATATATATATATATATATATATATATATGAGGTAGGATCCTTTGACACCAGTGTCAAATTTGAAATTTGACACCTCATCTGAGAGCCGTTAGATCAAAAAATATCAACGGCTCTGATTTGTAAGCATGTGACACCTTTGATCTTTTTTGATCTAACGGCTCTCAGATGAGGTGTCAAACTTCAAATTTGACACCGGTATCAAAGGATCCTGCCCCTCTCTATATATATATATATATATGGAGAATAGATGCTGTGTTTGGCTGGCATTTTTCTCAATGACTCATCTTTCCTAAATCTGTTAAAGTTGAAACGTCACCTACCTTGTTCCTATGCCAGTCCTCTTTTGTTGGATTTTGTAAAATACCTATACATTATCTATAATACTCATTTCTCTGCTGAATTTTTTTGCTTAATGTGGACTGTTAGAATATGTGACGATGAAGTGATAGTGTTATGAATCTTTGATTTCAAACTAATAAAGGTTAGAGGCTTTACATTCAAATTGGGGGAAAACAAATTCTTGAAGAGACATACCCCCTGTTTTATTTGACCATCTTAAATTCATTTTCTAATACATGGAAAGAAAGGCAAACCAAAGTGCAGAAATATTATCGATTTTGCAAAGGTAGCAATGTGAGAGTAGGGGTGAGGTTTGATTGTATCAGCGTTATTCTTGCATTTTGCAAAGGTGCTGTTTAATATACTCGAATCCATGACTTTCAATGCACAAAGAACATTTTAAGAATTTTACATGTGTGAATTTATGCCAATGTGTGTGTGATTGAGAGAGAGAGATTCATGCCTTCATCTTATTGTATAAATCCACCATCCCATTTTTATTTTTCGTTTTTGTTTTGGTCTCTTCTGAGAGAACAAAAGGCCTTTTGTTTCGATCTGGTTTATTTGTATGTGCCTTAAAAGACTTAAATACATAGGATAATCTGAACATCGCTGTTTTAACTCAAAACTCATCAGACATGATAAAAAGCAAATCACTCGTGTATTGAATGGTGCACATCAAGCCATCAATGTTTATTAATATTCATATTATCTTATCCTTTACTGAAGTATTTGCTTGATGAGCAATGATGCAAACTAGTTGGCTGCTTGGCAGATTAATTTAAGTTTTTCATGGTATATGGGTACAGCTTATAAGTTTTTATCTTTGTACTGACTATTGTATGTTATATACTCTTAGACTTAATTTTTCTAGATGTTTGTCTACGTGTGGGGAAAAGGGGGTAGAGGAATTCGTGTTGCACATAGAAAAATTAATGAAAATGCATTCTAATTTAAGTTTGTCTTTGAACTCTGTCACAAATCAAGTGGTGCTTTTTGCCTTTTGATATTAGCCTTCAGCAGAAGCCCAGGAGATTCTCAACTTAAATTACGATTTTATTGTGTATTCCAACTTAGATGTAATTTATTTTTTTTATACAGGGATCCTTCACCAGTACTGGTTTAGAAGTTTCGTCCAAATTGCCTAGATTTTCAGACATATACACACTTAACATAGCGAGTGCAGATCCAAAATCAGTGTCTGCAAACGAACCAGTGCATTTGACTAAAAGTGTTACCGAATGGTATCTCTCTCTCTCTCTCTCTCTCTCTGGCTTCCCAACCAAAATGCTTCACATATGCATGCACGTACATTAACACTAGACAAAGTACATCAGTGTTGCATACTTCTAATTACACTGCTTTTTGGAGATAAAATGCTTCAGTGTATTTTTCTTTGGATTGCAGGTTCACTAAGGAAGGAGTCTTGGTGGAGGGCCGCTTCTGGAAAGATGTGGAGGCATTGATAGATCAATATACAAAAGAACCAAAGAAGAACAAGTAATATAGAGACATGAACTTAGTTATGTAGCGCACCTTTTTGGAGGGGAGATACGTAAATCTGGATATGGTTTATGACTTAAACATTTAGAATGGCAGGGAATCAGGATTTCACTAACTTTACAACACAATTTATTCCCATATTTCATCGGTGTTTTTCTGTTGAAAAAGATGGAGCATTAGTTTCACTTAGTTTCCTGAAAAAGATTAATTGTTGCCTATCTTTTTTTCCCTCTACTTTTCTTTTTAAGATTAGTTTAAAATTGAAGTACTTGCTTTATAAACATGTGTGTTGTTGAGCTGGTAGTACTTCCAGTGACATTGCATGCTGGGATCACTAGCGAGCTGGTGTTAAATCTTCCTTTCAACACATTTTGAAGCTTCTTATTTTCAAATCCATTACTAATATATTAACTTGAGTTTGCTTTTATGAAAGTAAATTAATGTTATGATTTTCTCTCTAGTAATAGATAGCCAGTGCTGTGCATCTTTTTTTTCAAAGTATAGTTTTTATATTGCTACCAACTCTTTCAATTTGCAGCATAAATAAATATGACTCTTGCTCCCAGTAATGCTCTACTCAGAATGCACTTTTTACACGAACTGTGCTTATAATATAGTTTGATTTTCACTAAAAATATTTAGTAGTTAGATTGCTGAGAAAACATGGGAGAAAAAGAAGAAAAGAACACAACATTTCAACATTAATTTTACTGTCATGCACTATCTGTGTAAAATAACTTCATACTAACACATTAATAATTTCAAAATAGGAATATGTTATTCTACCGTTAGATTATATTCTCAAGAGGTGAGAGAAATGATAAAAATTAGTTAAAATTCTAATCTAACAATATTGAAAATTAGTAGATAAAATAGACATAAAAAAAATAAGCAGAATAACCTATGTATTCAAAATATTAAAAACTATCATTTATATACATCTTATATCATTAAGAAAAGCAAACGGAGGGTTCAGATGTGAAGTATTGACTAAAAGCTCAATCAGAAACAATCCCGTACTTTTCCTTTTTTAAGACCAAGATGTAACCAACTCATTGAATTCTGTTCCACTACACTAATTGAGCCCAATATATTTATGAGATAGTCTCTTTTAAATAGAATGCTTTAGCAAAAGTGAATAGGAATTTCTATATATAAATTATGGGATTAATATTTATCATATTATAGGAAATAATTTTATTTTCTATATACACGTAAAAGTATGTGAGATTTATATTTTTCTTTTTTCTCTCCTCTCCTCATATTACATATTTTTATGTATGTGTTGGAGATAAATTTATCTTCTACGATATGAAAAATATTTATCCCATAAATTATTGTTTATAGATCTTCTCTCTGTTTCCTCAGGGAAATGTAGGGGTGACATATGAATGACAAAAAAAATCATCTTTAAATTAAAGTTATAAAAACTCTATCTTAGTATCATATTAGTCTTCAAATAACAGACATGTTATTATGTTAATATCTGAAAAACATTAATATAGTAGACATCTGTGATTTATAGAGTTTTTGTATTTTCAAAATTTAATATATCAAGCCATCAAAATTTTAAAAAACAAATTTTGATATTTACTGTACGGAAACAAAACATCTTTGATGAAAATACCTTGTTCACAAGGCTTAGGTAGCGAAGGTTACGGTGGTGCTCTCTGCACGTGCAGCCAGCCAGAAGTGTTGCTCCTTAAAAATATGTTTGGGAAATTTCTGAGATCCCACGACTCAAGGTCATGAGGGAAGCTCAAGCATCATCATTGTTTTCCTTTTGAGCTCTTAGCCATTATAACACCATGTTTTACCCCCTCACCAAATGATGTTCCTGCACAAAAATATATATTTTACATAGGATTTATCATCTATCATTTAACATGATCATAAAAAATTTCTTACACACACAAAATTTTGTGGGACCCGCAGCCAAAAAAAAAAAACTTCGGCACGCAAAACGAATCTCTATAACATAACACAATCATTTTTCCTACAACATAACTCTTATAAAACCCTTTTACACAGAAAGTAATAATAGTAGGCTACTAAAATGAACCCCCCCCCCCCCCCCCTCCCTCTCTTCAAAAACTATAATATATTTATGTAGTAGTCCATTGCCAAAAAATAGTATTAAAAAATTAAAAAAAAAAAATGTCTTACACTAGAATTTGGACAAGTGAGCCTTCCAGATAAGATATTTGAATAAAATATGAGACGGGTACAAGTTAAGATGTCTTAATCAGATTAAGAGGCAATGGTAACATAGTATAACTATAAAGTAATGGGTGCTCAGTGTCCCAAGTGGAGGACCACTTATTCACTAGTGAGGTCTTTTGTTCCCCATGAAAGGTGATGCATAAACCTATCATCCTCTACCCTATGGAGTAAAACCTAGAGTTACCACGGTTTTCTTAGTCAAGACCACCATCAAAAGGTGTATCTGTATCACATAAGTTGCAACAGAAAAAAATAGTGCATATAGTGGGGTTCGATTTTTTATTTTTTTATAGTTAATATACTTTTGTTTATAATTATACAAAGTCACATTTTTTTGTTATATTTTCTTATAATTTTAAGGTGTTATGAAGGTAGTGTTCATCACTTTCTTAAAAAAAAAAAAAAAGTAAAATAAGAAACAAAATGAAAAAAAAAATCTTAATATTTGGTTTTCTTGAAAAAAAAAATGAAGTTAGTTATATAACAACTAATGGTCAGGTTTTAGTACATATAGCAATCATGAGTTTTGATTTGGGTATCGAATCTATAATGAAGAATTGAGAAAATGAGATGAGTTTGTATGCCGCTGAAAGTGAAGGAACTTCTTTCACCTGATCTGTATAAAAAAGCTGATAGATTTTGATAAATTGCTTTAATACAAATATATTTTCCATAGCAACTTGGGTTTGTCGCTATGTCAGCAAAATGAGATAACAAGTCAATCCAGGAATGGACTTACGGGATTGGGACAACTTCCACAAACACCACAACCATTATGGACATGGCAAGTCATATGTACTATATTCTATGGTGTATACATGTATTATTATGTGTAGGGACAACAAATAATATTTATAAAGGGGATAAGATATTTTGATACTGGTATCAAATTTTGAAATTTGACATCAAATCTTAATTGTTGATTTCTGCAATCGACGGTTATCATTTATTGAAAATTAATAATTAATTAATAAATTTGATTTCTAATAAATGATAATTGTTGATTGGCGAAATTTAACGGTTAGAATTTGGTGTCAAATTTCAAAGTTTAATAACGGTGTCAAAAAATTTTATTCCATTATAAAGAAGGGTCAGAATTATTTTATATCGGTATAAGTTATACTTTCATTTTTTGATTGTTGATCATAATTATATATAACGATTCTGATTTATTAAATATGTAAATCGTCAGATACAAAATAAAGAAGATTTGGTATAAAACTTCTTGTTTTAAAAAAAAATATAAGTTCAAATTATTTAAAGAAAAATATTTTCTTATATTGTAAGAGAGTTATTTTCTCTTATTAGTGATCCTTTAATTTTTATGCAATATTTTTTTCTTAATAAATGTGAGCTCATATAAAGTATGTTTATAATATCAGAAAGTTTTCTCAAGTGTATGAGAAAATTGAAACTCATTATTTTTTAATGCATTCTCTTTTCTCCTTGGAACCCGTCCCGTGAATCTAAAACAAAGAGTGAAAATAAAATATGAACAATTTATAAAAGAGATTAATATTTCTTATGTTGTAGAAAATAATTTTATTTCTTATATGCACATAAAAGTGTGTGGACTCATGTTTTTTTTTTCTCTTCTCTTCACATGCCCTTACATAGGTCTCACATACTTTTATATGTATGTAGAAGATAAATTTTTCTCCTACAACGTGAAAAACATTAAATCCTTTATAAAAAGATTTTTTTTAAAAAAACAATTGGTGTTTGACATATTAGGAAGAGTATATAACTGTAAGAACGGGTAGTTAAAAAGATAATTATTTTGGAAGTCATTAAAATTTATATAAATATGTAAGAAAAAATGATGTGATCTTATACGAATTTTTTAAAAAATAATACAAAATATTTTTATATATATGTAATAGTGTGAACTCAGATTACACTAGAAATTTCCATTTTGAAAAATTGGAACAAATTCATTAAAGCTCCCAAGTTTGGCTACTGGTTTGCAAAAGCAAAATTCCATCTTTTAAATTCAAGAGTTGAATCGTAACCATGAAGCTTAACTGAGAACTTTTTGTGTCCTTTTGTTATTATATATTAATCTAAAAAAACCAATGTCGATATAGAGAAAAATTGTGCTTTTGTTTTAGCTAGAGTGATCTGGCTGAAAGGAAATTTGTATGTGTGCCGTTGCCATGAAGAAAATAGACAGAATATGAAGAAAGCATCTTAATCAGAGCATCTAGTAAGAAAAACAAATGCCAACCAACAACAAAAGAACCAAGAACTACACAACAAAAACAAAAACAAAAACAAAAATTAATGAGGTGGAGCTTGCCTCATGAACTGTCAAAAACAGCAAGTTGCACTTACTTAAATTTATCATGATTTGGACTTTCAATGATTAATAATCCCAATAATTTAGCCCTCTAAGGATCATCCTTATAAACCGCTAGGTTCTGTTCTCTGGTGGACCCTGAGATGCAACTACAGCAACTAAAGATTATACTTTAACTTAGAATCTTAAAAATATTTTTTGTTTACATAAAGTAGACTTCAAATGTCAAAAGATGATTTAGAAATGCCTCTTGGACAAGAAATATATTCTCCATCATTGATTTCTAAATATCCAATTTAATTATGATCAAGTAGGATCCACACTGCTGATGATAGATCCTTTGGGGGGCCAAATTCAGCTGTCACAACCCCCAAATTAATGTTTGAATTCATAGAAAATTTGTTTTAGGTGCGGCAGGTGAGTTGCAATATTACAAAGCACGGAAAGTTGAAGGAAACCTAATCTTCTAGATGATTGTTTATTAAGCAACACAAACTCAGTGGCTTAAAATATTCTTTTATATGTAACTCATGATTTTCTAATTTCAGAGTCAGTGTTATCTTTTTACAATTACTATTATTGGCTTTGTTAAAGTTTCAAGTTTATTTTGTTTCTTTTTATGGACATAGGTTTATATCACATAACAAAGTTATATGTTTAATGACTTTGACAAAAACACAATTTAGGTTAGGTTTTGTTAGC